GAATGTTTCATTGAACAGAGAGTTTGTACGCAACAAACATCTACAAAACATCATTGGAGGCACTATAGGGTGAGAAGGATAAATCATATCAGCCTCAGTTCCTTTTTTAATACCAGTCATAGTCTGGTAGATATCAGAGTGCTATAGACAAAATGTATCTTGACTTCTGCAAAGCATTTCTCATGTTCTTCTATTATTACCAAGGTGATAAAATGTAGACTGGAAGTGGCAAGTCCTTAAATTCAGTTGTCTTCTTCAAACATGCTGTTAGCAAATTATATGTACAGCAACTACAGCAACACAATACTCGTTAATAACACATGATGAAAATGAAAGGAGATAGCAAGAGTAATGGCATAGGGCAGGAAAAAAGAAAACATAGAGTAAGTTAGTAAATAAAAAACTCTTGCATTTACTTACCCCCCCCCCCAAAATAATAGTAATGAAGAGCAGGTTGGCTTCATAGCAGGGATCTATACAGAAAAAAGAAAACATAGAGTAAGTTAGGAAATAAAAAACTCTTGCATTTACTTACCCCCCCCCCCAAAATAATAGTAATGAAGAGCAGGTTGGCTTCATAGCAGGGATCTATACATTTTAAGGAAGCAATTGACAAAGGAGGCCACCTCCAGAGATGGCTAATTAGAAAGGGGAAACAGTTGGAAGCCAAGTGATACAATGAAAGGCTTGGCCTGAAGAAGAGAAGGCTTTGCTGTTATGAAGAGCAGAGGTGTTTTTCACATCAGGATTACAGACATAAAGGGTTGAATGATTATTTACTTAGCTTAAGTATATCCCATAATTTTAGATTCCATTTCCATAATTTATGGGCCTGCTTTCCTCTTTTGGTATTGGCCTACCTAGTGACTAGGGAGAAGTCATCTCAAAAGTTCTGCACAACTGGATTAAGGGAAAACTCTGACAATCAATAATCTATCATTGGAAATTGGAGATCCAGAAAAAATGTAGCAATCGAGGGAATAGTAGAGGTAGAAAAGGCATAGAGTTGTTTTCTTTAAAAAAAAGTTATCAAAAGTAATTTGAGCCATTGTTATACTTTTTGCCTTTTTTGTTTATGTTCTTCTTGTGTTATGTATATTAATGTGTGTTTTTCCATGCCCTGCTATGATAAACCCTGCAGAAGTCATGGTTAATTTTTCTTTCCTCCTGTTGGCTTTCAACCTCTATCCAGTTCCTTAATCTTGACATGCATAATAAAGACTTCAAAGCTTACTGAATCAACACTCTCATTCTAACAGAACTTTAATCTTGGCTCATGGTTAACTCCACTTAGTTAACCTACAACGATGAAGGAAAACAGGGATGGGGTCAACGCTTTACCTACTCCTGAATAATTCAGCAATAGAGATAATTTCTTCAGGGAAAAATGGTAGTTGTTACCATTTACCAAGTAAGTTCTGCCCTGGGGCATGGAGGGGTATATTTGGAATTTTATGAGACTCCCATCTGAAGAATACACAGGAATAAACCTACCATAGATGTGGATACATTTGCATTCACTCTGTTACAATATAGAACAAGTTAGGTGACAGCATCATGCACAGTTATAAGTCTTTGGGATATTCCCCATTAGAAAACCAGTAGGTGAGAAATTTTAATTTTCTTACAGTGAGTTTCTCTCTCAACACTTTCCAACCTCTCCATCAAATTTCAGAACTCCCCTCTTAATCTAAAAAGACACTTAATTGTACATCATCATCATCATCATCATCATCATTATTATTATTATTATTATTGATTTTTTAAAAAAGAAGATAAAAACGAATACAAACTAATATAAATGGGAAAAAGAAAAGAAAAAAGTCAAAGAGAAAGCTAAAAGTGCAAGAAAAGAGAAAAAAGGGAAAGGGAAATAGAAAAGAAAAAAGGTACAAAGAAGTAGCTTCCAATCTTCTTTACAGCAGTTATGAGTATAGTTATAAATTTCCCTCTTACTCTATAGTTATAACATAACTCTCTTCTTTCTATATCCTGTCTAATCAAAACCATAAATCATAAGTTCGTTTTTTTCTGTCTCATGCAAAAAGTCCATAAGGAGTTTCCAGTCAGCAATAAATGTAGATATTGTCTTCTCTCTGATCGAAGAAGCCAATTTAGCCATCTCAGCAAGTTCCATCATCTTCGCCAGCCATTCCTCCACTGCGGGTAGTGCTGAATCCTTCCATCTTTGTGCATACAATAATCTCGCTGCAGTTATCATGTACAAAAACCAAGTTCCATGACTTTTTCCCAACTGTTTGTCTATCAATCCCAAAAGAAAAACCTCTGGTTTCAATTGTATTGTTTCAATCATTAAAATCTTCTGAATCAGTGTATGTATTTGAGTCCAGAATTTTCTAACTTTTTTACATATCCACCAAACAAGATAGAATGTCCCTTCTTGTTGTTCATATTTCCAACATAAATTTGAAGTGCCTTTATACATCCTAGATAATTTCTCTGGTGACATATACTAACGGTACATCATTTTATAAAAATTCTCTTTAAGGTTATAACATAATGTAAATTTCAATTCTTTCAGCCACATATTTTCCCATTGTTCCATCTGTATATTATAACCAATTTTTTAGCCCACTTTATCATACATTGTTTCAATTCTTCTTCTGTTTCAAATTTCAATAAAAGTTTATACATTTTAGCAATTACGTGTTCTTCATTTGTACATAATTCTATTTCAAATTCAGTCTTACAACATACAGAACCATACATTCTTTTGTCTGCTTTAAATCTTTCTAATAATTATGAATAAGAAAACCGTTGACAACTATATCCCTCTGCCACCAGTTCTTTTCTTGATTTCATTTTACATTCCCCTTGACAAAATTCTAGTATCTCATGATAAGTTAGCCATTTGTGTTTGCTTATTATTTCTCATGTATAAAATGCTTCTTGAGCTGAGAGCATCAAAGGTGCTTTTGGGCACATCCTGGTTTTGTATCTATTCCATATTCTCAGTATGGCACATCTAACGTAATGACTTTTAAAATCCTCATTAACCTTGACTTTGTTGAACCACAAATATCCATGCCACCCAAATCTCAGGTCATGTCCTTCTAACTCCAAAAGCCTTCTATCAAATCTCAGGTCATGTCCTTCTAACTCCAAAAGCCTTCTATCAAATCTCAGGTCATGTCCTTCTAACTCCAAAAGCCTTCTATCAAATCTCAGGTCATGTCCTTCTAACTCCAAAAGCCTTCTATTTCTCAGCAGCTCTTTCACCCAGACCAAACAGCAAACTGCAAAATACAATTTCAAGTCAGGTAAGCCGAATCCTCCTCTTTCCTTTGCATCTTATAACACCTTATATTTAACTTGTGGTTTTTCCCCTGCCACACGAATTTAGATATATCCTTCTGCCACTGTTTAAGTTAAAAGACACTTGATTAAGCAAGATGAAAATATTCATCTTTTTTCTTCAAGGTCCCATCTTCTCAGCATTTTGAGTACTGCTGAATGGATGTCTTTGTTCCTCAGGGTGTAAATGATGGGGTTAAGAAGGGGAGTGATCACAAGGTAAAAGACAGCAATTTTCTTGTCATGATCAGGGGCTGAGTCCGACTGAGGGACAATGTACATAGAGATAATTGTGCCATAGAATAAGCTTACCACAGCAAGGTGGGAACCACAGGTGGAGAAAGCCTTATGCCATCCTGCTGTTGACCGCATGTGCAATACAGAATCCAAAATGAACGCATAGGAAGTCAGGATAACAAAAAGGGGAACAAGAACAATGCAAGTTGAAAGACCAAAACCAATGACTTTAGTGATTCTTGTGTCACCACATGCAAGTTTTAGCACAACAGGTGGTTCACAGATGAAGTGGTTGATGTAGTTGGGGCCACAAAAGGGATGACAAAAGGTGCAGATGACATAAATTGCAGAGAACCCAAAACCAATGGTCCAACAGGATGTGGCAAGCAAGATTTGGTGCAACCTGTCCATGGCCAATGCATATACCAATGGATGGCAGATGGCCAAGTAGCGGTCATAAGCCATGGCTCCTAAGAGCAAACATTCAGTACTACCCATGGCCAGAGTGATGTAACCCTGCAGTGTGCAACGTGCTAAGGAGATGGTTCCATTTCCACTCAAAAGGTGGGCCAACATCTGCGGCTGTGTGCTAGTAACATACCCGATCTCCATGCCGGCAAGATGGCTGAGAAAGAAGTACATGGGGGTATGCAGTTGGGAATCAGCCCACACCAGTATGATGATCAGAGAGTTCCCAAGGATGGTAAGCAAGTAGATAAGGAGAACAGCCACAAAGAGTAGCAGCCGGGATCTGGGATGGCTGGTGAGCCCAAGTAGGATGAATTCTCTGGTGGAAGTGTAATTCTCAGCTCCCATCTTGCCTTCTGTTTGAGAAGAGAGGCGAGGTTGGGACAAAATGAAATTTCCTGAAAATGGGATAACTTTTAAAAAGAGAATGCATCCAACCACAACATTTTAATGAGAAAAATATCTTCATTCAAAAAATCCTGATTTCCAGTATTGGTTTTCTGCAGGCATCATTCATATGTTCCACCGCATCAGGAAAGGTTGCTTTTTGTGGCAACAAATTCATTTTTAGTGAATCTGTGTACAGAGTAACACACTGTATTTATATGGCAGATAATGCAGCATTTACAGTATTAGAACGAATGAACATCATGAACAAGGAAATGGGATTGGTTTGATTTATCTCCATGCTGAAAGTATCGTGCCAATGGAATCCAGTTTCCAATTTATTTGTTGTAGGAGGGCTTGCAGGAATATGTAGATTAGAATGACTGTATTTGGGAGGAAGAATGTAATAAGCATCATGGCAATCTGTTTCCCATAAAATATGGCTGGCCTATATTGAACACAGAGGGGTGTGTGTGTGTGTGTGTGTGTGTGTGTGGTGGGGGGAAGGAAAATGTGGAGAGAGATAACCTGAATTCTAGTAGAACAAGCAGGTAATCAGTGAATACTTCAGTCTCAGTGTAGAAATTAAGTGGAGTCTCAGATAAGCACCTTCAAAAATGTTTATGCTCATACCTTTTAGGTTCATTCAGGGTCTCCTGGGGCTTCTTTCAGAATATTGCTTCTTCCAAGAGCCTTGCTGGCTAATGCTTATTATTTTAAAGAAGTGGAGAGTATCTAGGATTTCTAGGCTAAATAATGCAGGCATTTTCATCTTCGTAATATACAACCCTCTAAAATGATACATCAATTTGTGTGAGCCTGTCATGAATAATTTCACTGACATTGGGGAGGAATAAATATACTATACTATAGCATATTTATAGTAATATATTATGAATAAATAAAAAGCTTACTAAAATGTATGTAACTTGCTTATTTTTGTGAGTACAACCAGTAGATTGGTTACCTACCTTTTCTCTTACTACCCAATGAAAAGGTGGAAAGGATAGAAATTTAAAATAATAGCCAAACATTTTGAACTTCACAAACATGTACATTTCTCCAAAGTCTACAGATATTCATGTCCTCTGACCCCTGTTTTTTTCTACTGTGGGCTTCCCCAAGAAAAGCACAAGTGAATTTTGACCACACTTCCACTTAGCCTGAACCAGCCTGTTCAGCTTTAAAGACTTTTTGTGACCCACTTCTAAGTTGCGAATGATCTCCAGATTTGAGAAGTCTTGAAATTATGGATAAAAGTATCTGATGATCTTCTGAAATAACTGCCTGGCTAGGGACACACACAAACACAAATGAAATATACACACACAAAGACCTGTAATTATGTATAGTATTGGTGCAGTCTATACCAACTAATTTGCTAATAAATACCTTTAGAGTTAAAAGGTTGGAGGGAGTTCATAACATACTGTTTTCTGGGTAGATCCTCATTTTTTAGATTAGAAGGGGCATTACTTTATACCAATACAGGGAACCTTCAAGTAGATGTCACTGAATGATCCTTGTCTGAGCTTCTTTAATAAAAATACTGAGGGGCTTCTAAGTGAAGTTACACCGCATATGATGGAGAGGTGCATACTAAAGATCTCACCAGAGATGACATCCAAAATACAGAAATTTGTTGCAGGACCAACTTTAAAAGCATTGTCAAAGCAGCAACAAAACAGAAATATGAATGGGACATGTTGCACACATGCATGGCAACATATGGGCCTGAAAAGTGACAAACTATAACTTCACATATCCACACGGTCAACCACATATGAGATGGAAAGATGAAATATGGAAAAACCTTGGTCCTGGCTGGAACACTAGAACATTGGACCGTAGACAATACCAACATCTGGAGGTACTGTTGCTTTAGATGGTGAACCTACCCAAATGAATATGATGATTGAAGTATCAGAGTAAGTATTTGCACTATGTTCCAGCTATTTAACCACTTTAACAGTTGCTCTACTCACAAAATTTTAAATCTTTCTCTAGGAATTCAACTCATTTGGTGACTTCAGCTAGCAAACTATTCAAGCAGCACTCTGGCCTTATGTTTCATGATCTGTAGAAGATTTGAGGTTCTCATAAGAAAATAAAAAGGATATAG